CCATGTATGCATGCAGCATCACGGCCGCTTCATACCAATCCCTTCGCTTCATAATTTGCTTAGCAAATGAATGAATACGAGCGTCAGGAACGGTCGTCCATTTGTGGGCGGGCGGGCGTGGCGGGCGTTTGGGACGTAAAGTTGTGGCTTGATAGGGCCCTTATAAGGGCACCTTCCTCGGGGAAACCGCTATGCAGCGCCTGCCCAGGGTCGCGGAATTCTATCCTGCCAGGAGTATTGATCCTAGTCGTCTTGGGGGATTTATCGTGCCAACTGCCTTTAAGGGCACCAACTGTGACCCTTCCCCGATCGAGCGTGTGACGTGGAGTGGATTGGAACTTTGCCAGGGCAGCCTTTCCACCAATGTTGTCATCCTTATTCGGCTAGCGCGAAATGTTGTCATGGCTGCGCTACAATCCACGCCCCAGCACCCTTTCTTTTGCATGACTCTATACGGTGAAAAAACAAAAATTCATACCCCATCAAAGTCAACTGTAGGGAAATCCTTTCGTAAGTAAAAACCTTCAATGTAGTAGAAATCATCCTTCGTAAAGTTGAATATTCGAGCCATGAGAGCATTGGTGTCAACTGAAATGAAAATGCTGAAAATCTTGTGGAAGTTGATGTTCCGAGATTCGCACCTCTCCTGTGATTCTTGGGTTTCGAGGCGTCTGACGAGGCTGGTGTTTTCTTATCCTTGGGACTCGATGGCTTCAACAAAGGCGATGCTTTTTTGTCGTTGGGGCTTGACGGCTTCAAGGCTGGTGCTTTTTTGTCCTCGGGTTTCGGTGGATTCGACAAAGCATATGCCGAGAGAAGCAGAAAGAAAGCTAGTTGCCCAAACATTGCACTGTTACCGTCGTACTTCGGTAAAGGGTGCTGCAAATACCAGGCACCTATATTCTCTGTTTGAAAACATTCGTCCTGCCGAACAAACCTTCCGCTCATTCATCACCAGAGTTTTAACGCCCGGATACGTTAACAACCAATGAACTGCAGCCGTATGCTCAAACTCACCCTTCGTAGCCACCGGCAATTGGAAGGGAATTGAGGAATGACGTGTTCCACACCGCCTCCCCTTCCTCCCCCACCCCCCCCCAAGACCGCTAGCACCTCTACCAGTAAGACACTGATACTGTAGCCAACCTCCAGCGCCGTGGCTGAAAATGTCCATTGACGTTGTGGTATCTGTCTATTAGGCAGCGTTCAGACTTCGTGATGACGCGCTCCGACGCGCTGTCACTCACTCTAAGGCGGATGACGCGCGACGACACTCTGTAACGTGCTACAATTGTAGCAGCGCTCCAATCCGAGAGCCGCGATTGTAGCCACAGACGAGAAGCGATCGACGCAACTCGTGTATGGGGACAGTGTTAGGGATTTGGAGAGTACGAGTTGCTTCAGCATGCAGTCTGTATCGGCGCCAACCTCTAGAACAGCGCCGGCGGTGCCAATTGTTTCCCTTCTGCGGCAGCGTTACGTTCGAAAATTAGAGCGCTCTTGCAATGGCAGCGCGTTGCAGGGCGTTGACGCGCGTCATCGCGCAGTCTGAATGCTGCCTTATGATGCCTTCAGTGCAGGAACACAGTCGTAAACTTTAAAAGACGCCCCTTTAGCGCAACGGGATCACTACTCAGGGTTAGAGGTTTAGCCCATGCCTAGGCGATGTAGTGGAGAACCTGCGGATTTTGGATTTCGCCAGAGCTGCAGGAGTGGACACCTACTGGCTTGGGCAGAGAGATCCTGTGCACAAGAAAGTGTAGACGGCGCGAGAAACTTCACTCCCCCTCCCTTGTCTGGAGAGGCCACTGCCTACCCCACCGGTCTCACATCCAAGCCATCTTGCGCTTCTTGAAATTACACTCGATGAAAAAGAGAAGCGCATTAAAAGAAAATGGTCCAATGCGCTCAAGGATTTGCGCGATTAGCCAGCTGTGGCAATGCCAAATAAATTCAAACATTCGCCCCGCCCAAGAGCACTTTTTGATCCGCGGAGGGGGGGGGTATCCCCCCCGTCTGGCTCCTCGGGGTCTATAAGGAGAGCATTACATGGGTCCTAAACTAGACCATATCCACGATCCGTCGAGAGCATGATGCTCATTGCATCAGTGCCAAGCAGTTCTCCGCCATAAATTTTCAAGTATTGTCCTTTTCAGATATGACTTCCTCTTTCCCCCCTCCCTCACTCCATAACCGTGATGTTGTAATCACGTTGGGGAAGCGAGTTAAAGGAAGTGTGGGAGGAACCACAATTCCCGAAGATGAATGAAAACTTTTCATCAATGCTTTCCCACCACACTGTAACTCTCACACCACCCCTTCCCTTGAACATCCGGTAAGTGTGGCATATGTGAATAAGGAAATGATGAATGGTAAAAACTTCAATGCATTAAAGAGAGCGGTGGTTCTTGAGATGGCGATTGTGGTGGTTTTTATGCGCGTTCAAAGCCATGCATACTTTATGCCCTCCAAAACTGTAGCGATCTTTCTTCTTCCCCACACAACAGAATATCTCAAGGGTTTTAGGCTGGCTCTAACAACCTTTTATTGTTTAATCGTCATAAAACGCAAGTATTGTGAAACTGTGTGTTGTCGCTAACCTGTACCTTAATGGAAGACACATTGAATCGAAATAAACGCCCCTTTTTCGGTCTACTTTGAAACTTACAAAAAAAGTTGAGATATAATAGCTTCAGGATCGGACAGGGGGATGAAGTGTTATTCGCTGTCTGTCGGCTGTAGTCTCTATTCCGGCCATTGAGAGGATGTTCATACGCAACTCACTTGAACTGCCGTGGGCTGCTCATTCGGAGGAACATTTCTGCTTTGGGACAACATGCTTTTTTCTAGCACGAGGGAGGATGACAGTTGTCTCATGTGGAAATACCCCACGAGAAACGCCTACACGTCAAGTTAAGATGAAGGGGGCGGCAACGTCCCCTTCATGTCCAGGATGTGGAGCAAGCTTCCAGACTGAGTATTTGCTGCCGATGCAGGCGACACGGCTCAATGGCTCCACTATAGACTGCAATGTATAGTCGCTCTGGATATACGTCTCTTTGTCTATCTGTTGGCCTGTCTTTCTTCTTGGTTGTCTGTCTGTCTGTCTGTCTGTCTGTCTGTCTGTCTGTCTGTCTGTCTGTCTGTCTGTCTGTCTGTCTGTCTGTCTGTCTGTCTGTCTGTCTGTCTGTCTGTCTGTCTGTCTGTCTGTCTGTCTGTCTGTCTGTCCTGCCTGTTTGTGTGCCCGTCTATCTACATACCTTTCCTCCTATTCATATGTTTGCCCTTCTCTATTTCTCTAATTCATTTTACTTCCTATTTGCCTGCCTAATTTCCTGTCTGTTTGTCTATCCGTCAATCTACCTGCCTGTAATGTTCTGCCCTCTTGTCCTGCTGCCTTTCTGGCTGCTCATCTGTCTCAAAACTAGACGAGTCAGATGTGCCTCTTTTCTGCTAGTTTCTCCTTATGAAACGTACTGATCCACAGTCCTCATAGTTTGACACTAAGCATAGGACAACGACCAGGTGATTTTCAGCTAACCCCCAGGAACATTTTCCGATTTTTCCATGCATCCCTTACAAATGACTCCTTCATAAACTGCTTATCAGTGCTGCTTTGCAAAAATTCACACATTCTAGGATGAGATGATCTTGCTTAGCCAGTTTCCGAGGTACGGAGGCTATGGCACGTAATCGATACTTGGTCCAAAATGCCAGTAGGGTGCCATATATTGGGCAAAACTGCGAAAAAACGAAGTAAAACGGTTGAAAGCTTGCGAAGAAAAGCCTTCACTATTAATATCAATTCCTCCTTAGCTTCATAGTTTATTTATCAAATGAAGCAATACGAGCATCAGAAACGCTCCATTTGTGGGCGAGCGGGCACGATGGGAGTCCAGGTCGGTATGCTTGCAGCTTATAGAGCTTATATAGGATACCTTCTTTGAAGAACGCGCTTACGCAGGCGTCTGCTCAGGGGAATCAGAATTCCCGTCCTGCCAGGACGTATTACTCCTTCACGCCTGGTGGATTTATCATGTCACTTGCCTTTTATCAGAAGGCTGGTTTTGGTGCCACTAGACCAGTTTTCACTGGGTGTTGTCGCTCGCCCCCTTCAACATTTGGAGGGGAAGAGACCGGCACCCTGCCCTTGGCACACTAAGCAGCTCTGACCAACAAGGTTACAAGACTATCTTGCAGTCTTGGTATGATGAATATCTGCTATCCATAGCCTCATAGCCTTGATATCTTTCCATACCTTACTAGACAAGTGAATAGGGCACATCATTGGTGCGGATTTGGTCTTGTCTGCACGAATCCCTCTTTTTTCAGAAGCGAAATACGACCCCTCCCTGGTCTTCCTCCCATGCGAACTGTCGAGCGGGGAAAAAAAGCGGGGGGGGGGTATCTGGGTGTATAGTACATAGGAAACAGGAAAAGCCACGAAAAGTCAACAACCTCTCTCAGAAGGCCAGAACGCAGATGAGACCCCCTCCATTCATAGCGTTCCTGATACAAGAAAAATCAACTGTCAAAAAAAATTTCCAAACCAAACGATCCTCCTCCAGCAACCAAAACGACCCCCGCCCCTGTTGAAGGATCCTAGCAACTATGTGCCCTGCGTGAATTTGTCTTGAGGATTGTTGAGGCGTTCGAGCGGCGGTAATATATCTGTTTTTCTCTCCAGAAAAGGCTAGAAAAGGCTTTGACGAGGGTAAAGACGCTGGAAACGTAGCCTAATATGCCTAACGCGCATTTCTTGAAAAGAGAAAGAATCGTGCATATTGTGAAGGTGAATAGAAACACTGTCACGGTCCGTTCGAAAGAAATACAGCCCCGGTCGAACTGTAAGGTAATTTCGCTGTGTTTGAAAGGCTTTCAGTCACCGCTGCGCTATTCCAAACGTTGTACATTTTGCGATACTGCTCTGCAATTCTTTTTTTGTTTCATTTAGTAATGCAACCATGCAGTCGCTCTAACCTTTCCTGTGTGTGAAACACCACATGTAGAAGAACATTTATTTGGAACCATCATTTCGTTGTGTAATCATAAATATAACACGGAATTTCTAGGTCACACATCAAACAAATGATCGCCGACACTTGAAATTAATGACTCTTGGTGGCTTTCTTGGCACCGTTTTTTGATGTCATACTGAAAAAGAAACTAAGCAATTATGGTGAGGGTATTCGTTTATCGGCAACCTCTGCTATCACTTCCCCTATTTATCGACGCTTTTAACGACTTGGGTAATAACTTCTGCGAGTATGTTGTCTCTTTCTGTCTATCTAGCGCCCTCCCCCCTTGCGAATACGGCGACCGTAAGGCTGCGTTCATACTTTGCGGCAGCGTCCTCCAGCGTTTACCAGCGTCCACCAGCGCCTTGAGGGCTAGACTAGTATAGGTATCGATCTAACACCGGTCTATCAGCGTTATGTAGAGGAGAGTATGGCGCGATAGGAGGCTATCAGCTGTCTGCTACCATCCTCTCGCGCCATACTCTCCTGTCCCGGACGCTGGATAGACACCGGTGCACGCTGGTGGACGCTGGCAGACGCTAGATCGATATCTATACTTTCCTAGTTGCTGACGCTGCCGGACGGTGGGAACGCTGGTCGCCGGTGGATGCTGCCGCGAAGTATGAACACAGCTTTAGCACTGAGTACAGCCAGATGAAGAGCCGTCCATTCTTTGACCTTTTTCACTTCTATTCCTACTGATCCATTATTCCTTAGACCTTCTTTGTCGCCCCAAGGATACTGTTCAAATTTTAGATCACTGCGAAATCACGTCAAATGCATATCCTTTGCTGGATAAGACCAAAAATTCTATCTACGAAACCGAAA